GACTGTCATTCAGCATTTACCATAAGCTCCCTGCCACACTAAGCAAGTACTTTACAAACACTGTTTTCTCAGCTTTAAAAGGTTGCTGCTTTATTGTCTCCATTTTACACGTGGAGAAATTGACACAACAGTAACTTGCCTAAGGCCACACAGTCAGAGGCTGAAAGAGTTAGAATCTGAGCCAAGTGTTGTACTTGAGCTTGGACCTTACACTACACTGACTCTCCCATGCCTGACAAATAACAACAGGATCCCAGACACGGTATCCCAGGTCCAACTCCCAGCTCTGCCATTTATTTTCTAAATGACTTTGGGCTCATTCCTGTGAGCCTTATGTTTCCTCATCTGTAAAGCAGGTTGTTGTGAAGGCTTCATGAGATGCATATGAAAGGTGTCAGCACTCTGACATAAGAATGATTCAAATTCTCGTGTGGCTTTCCACTCCACCGAGTTGCCTGTGGCCAGTGGCCCCCGCAGGCCCCTTCTGGCTTGGCTGGTTGCTCACAGTCTGGTCTCTCCAGATCACCCGGCTGGAGCAGACATGGGTGACCCTGCGGCAGCGACACACCGAGGGTGCCATCTTGTACGAGAAGAAACTCAAGCCCTTTCTCAAGAGCCTCAATGAGGGCAAAGGTACCTCCCCCACCTTGGACAGGTTCTAGCCCCCTTGGGATGCAAAGACTCTCCCAGTGTGGACGGTGAGGGCTTGACTGAGCCCGTCCAAGCTGTTCTCCCTTAGCTTACGTTCTATATCTGGCAAATGTGCCAGCCGAGTCAGGGCTGGGCCAAGGCTGCAGTGAGTGGCTGGGGCTGTGGGTTCCGCTGGGGGAATCTGCAGGGAAGTGTTTGTCCCAGGAGGCAGGAATGCTGGAGGCGCTCTCTGGGACCTCGGAGGGCCCCTTCCACACCCCGCACTTCAGTTTCCAGGACTGCAGTGAAGGATGGGGCCCTCGATGGTCTCTAAGCGCCTGCTGTCTCCCTCCCTCCAGAAGGCCCACCACTGAGCAACACCACGTTTCCTCACGTGCTGCCACTCATCACGCTGCTGGAGTGCGATTCGGCCCCTGCCGAGGGTCCCGAGCCCTGGGGCAGCACAGAGCACGGTGTGGAGGTGGTGCTGGCCCACCTGGAGGCTGCCCGCACCGTGGCGCACCACGGAGGCCTCTACCACACCAACGCGGAGGTCAAGCTGCAGGGTGAGTGACAGGTCACCTGTGGCAGGGGGTAGGAAGAGGGGGGAAGAGGTCACTAATCCTGCAGCCTGGGCCTCCTTCCACCTGGCTTGCTACTCTCCTTTCCTCCCAATGTCCACCCACTTCTCCCCATCACTCTCCTTCCCACCCTGTCTCTTTTTTCTCATTCTTTCTCTTCATTCACCAGTTAGTTCACCAGGCATTTTATTAATGGCAGGCACGGTGCTGGGGTAGGAGGACACACAGATCATTCAAAGAGCACCTTAGGCGTGTCTGTTTCTGTTAGCCTTGGTTTCCTCATCTGTGAAGTGGCAATTTGGCAGGCTTACTTTACAAGGTTGGCTTGGGAGCCCAGTGCTCAGGCAGACTTGCCCTGCCCTTACTTATCGACTGATGGGTAAAACTACCCCTCATGAAAGGACCGGGGAGAGACAAGTGGCTTCAGATCATCTTTTATTGTCCTAGGTAATATTAAGTCATAAAATTCACTGTAGACAAATTAGAAACTACAGCTGAGTAAACACAAGATTTAAAAATCACTGCCAGTGTAATTACCAGAGGTCAAAGCTAGGAACATGCTGGTGTGCATTATCTGTCTTTTTTAGAGGGAAAAAAAATAGATTTTTTTTCACACTTAAGTACATCATTTATATATGTTTTTTAGAAAAAAAATTCATAATTGATAGGAAAATACAAAAAAGAAAAATCACGATCTCAGAAAAATTGTTAACATGAATATTTAATCTTCTAGGCATTTAAAAATTGCATGTTCAAAATAGTAGGAGTAAAAACCAAAACCAAACCCTTTGCTGTTGAGTCAATTCCAATTCATAGCAACCCTATAGGACAGAGTAGAGCCGCCCCATAGGGTTTTCTAGGCTATAATCTTTACAGGTACAGACTGTCGGGTCTTTTCTCTCATGAGGTGGGTGGTGGGTTTGAACCGCCAACCTTTCAGTTAGTAGCTGAACGCTTAACCATTGTGCCACCAGGGCTCCTCTTGTAGGTCAGAGAGTAGGTGCTATGTAGTTATGTTCATTTCAACAAATCTGGGAACTCTCATGGAGCTGGTGGAGGGATGGTGGCTCAGGACAGGATGATGGTGTCCCCTGACCTCTTTGCCCTCACTGTGCAGGGTTCCAAGCCAGGCCAGAGCTCCTGGAGGTTTTCAGCACCGAGTTCCAGATGCGCCTTCTCTGGGGCAGCCAGGGTGCCAGCAGCAGCCAAGCCCGGCGCTATGAGAAGTTCGACAAGGTTCTCTCTGCCCTGTCCCACAAACTGGAGCCTGCTATCCGCTCCAGTGAGCTGTGACCTCCTGGGACCTTCCCCCTCTGCAGCTGCAGGCAGCATCAGGGCCAGAGAGGGGCACTGACTTTCACAGCACCCCAGGGACACTGTGATCAACCTGAGAATGTTCTGGGTTCAACTCCAGGATCTCCATTGCTCCTCCAGGGCCCTGCATGGATGCTGGGTTCTGTCCCATCTGCTACAAGCTCCCCAAGTCTCCCTCCAGGAAGAACCGGAACCCCTGTTCCTCCCACCGGCTTCTGCTTCTCCCTTTCCTGACAAGGTTCCCTGTCTTTGAGCCATGGGAGGCTCCTCACGCCTCCTCACACCTCTCCAGACATCTGCTCGCTCATCGCCCCCCCCCACCAAGGCCTCCATCTTGCTGTAAATAACTTTCTGTTCTGTAAATAGATGTACAGAAGCCATGTTTTTTCTTTCATATAATAAACTTTTATGACTCTTTCTTTTGTCTTTCAAGGGGCCCTGAGGTGGAAGGAAGCACCTTTTCTTAGGCGAAAAATGGAAACATTCATTCAGCAGATATTGTTTAGCACCTGGGCCATTCCGGACTGTGCCAGGAGCCAGGGTTACAGCAAATACTAAAACCCAGTCCCTGCCCTTGAGATGCTCTCAGACCAGTCAGGGAAATGAACAGCTAATTCCAACCCAATGGGGGAGATGCTGGCCTGACTCCCACTCCTACCACATCCCCACCTTGGGACACCACAGCAACATTTCCACAAACACATGACCAAGGATCTGAGATGTCTGGGGTGGAAGGGCTCTTTGAAAACCGAGGACAGGAGGGAGAACGAACTTCTCCCAGGCTACGGCAGTGGAAGGGGGAAGACTAATTCTTCCCTTTTCTTTCCTCAATAGTGGGAGCTATTAGTCTTTCCAGGCTTTGAAATGTGGCTCCAGAAGTCTGTGTATGTCTGTATAAGGATAGGGTGGGGTGAGGAATTTTTGAGGTAGAACATAAAGGCAGCTGTCTTGGATGCCTCACTAGGATGGTGGGAAAAGTAGGTAAGAGATGAACACAATTTCAGGACAAGCTAGAGGCCTGGGAAGCCTGTTTACTGAATTTAAAATGTCTAGGGTCCTTTGTTTCTGAATCCTTTGTTCAAGATAGACTAGGTAGTCTATAGTGCATTAAATCTTTGGTGGCAACCAGATTTGGGTTCAATTCTATTGTCTATTAGCTGAGTGACCTTGGATAACAGGTTTAGTAAAAAAAAAAAAAAAAAAAATGGAGGCAATACCAGAACCTACTTTGTAGGGTTGATTTAAAAAAACTTAGCACATAGTTGCTGCTAGATATTGTTGTTGTTGTCGGTGCCATTGAGTCATCTCTGACTTGTAGTGACCTTATGAACAACAGAACAAAACACTGCCTGATCCTGTGCCAGCCTCATGATCCCTACTATACCTGAGCCCATCGCTGCAACCACTGTGTCAATCCATCTTGTTGAGGGCCTTCCCCTCTTTCATTGACCTTCTACTTTACCAAGCATGACATCCTTCTCCAGAGAATAGTCCTTTCTGACAACATGACCAAAGTAGTTGAGATGAAGTCTGGCCATTCCCACTTCCAAGGAGCATTTCAGCTGCACTTCTTCCAGGGCAGATTTGTTAGTTCTTTTAGCACTCCATGGTACTTTCAGAATTCTCCAACACCACAGCTCGAAAGCATCACCTCTTCTTTGGTCTTCCTTATTCATTGTCCAACTCTCACATGCATATGAGGCAATTGAAAATGCCATGGCTTGGGTTAGGTGCATCTTAGTCTTCAAGGACATATCTTTGCTCTTCAGCACTTGAAAGAGGTCTTTTGCAGCAGATTTGGCCAATGCAATATGTCTTTTGATGTCTTTTCTGCTGTTTCCATTGGTGTTGATTGTAGAACCAAGTAATATAAAGTCTTTGACAACTTCAATCTTTTCTCCATCTAGTGTGATATTGTTTATTGGTGCAGTTGTGAGGCAGCAGTCCTGGTAGCATGGCGTCTAAGGCGTTTGACTGCTCACTGGAAGGCTGGTGGTTCAATTCCAGCAGCCACTCCGAAGGAAAATTGGGCAATCTACTTCCGTAGATATACGCCTCAGAAACCCAAGGAGGGGTAGCTGTGAGTCAAATCAACTCCATGACAGCGCGTCTGGTTTTGTTTTTTTGAGCTCTGGTAGCATAGTGGCTAAGGCACTTGACTGCTAACCAGAAGGCTGGCGGTTCAAACCCACCAGCCACTCCTCGGAAGGAAGGTTGGGCAATCCTACTTCCGTAGTGATACTGCCTCGGAAACCCAAGAAGGGGTCGCTATGAGTCGGGGCCGACTCCATGGCAAATAACAACAACAACAAATGCTGGTCACCTAGTTACCGTGGCTATGGAAACGTCCCCTGATTGGGTGGTTCACGGGCTCCCCCTGGAGGCCACCGTCTGGTCCTGCTGCGGACTAAGGGCGGGCCTTTAAGAAGGGTGAGAATCGGGAGTTGTAGGCGATGGACAGTGGCTGGCGCGGAGCAGTGCACGCCGGGAGTTGTAGTTTGCGTGAGGCGATTGGCTGCCCCGGACCAAGCTCCGGCTTCAGCTGGATGGCGGCTGCGACGCATTGCTGCTGGCTCTGGGGCTGGTTCGTCGGGCTTCTAGGGTTTGTCTCGGGGACAGCCGCTGCCTGGGACCTGGCTTCGCTGCCCTGCAACTTCGGCGACTTCTGCGAGTGCGACTTCCAGCCTGACTTCCCGGGTAAAGAACGGCGGGTGACCGGAGCTGAGGGACTGGCGGACTGAGTAGCACTCAGACCCCGTGGTTGCCTCGGGGCCAAGAAAGCTGTGGACCCTTAGTGTAGAATCGAGGGACAGGGTCCTCAGACGTCCGAACGGTTAGGGCTAGAAGTGGGCCGGGCGTTGGGGGAGCACCGGGCCTGGCACGAGGTATTGGGAGTGGCTTATTGGGGCCTGGGCAGAGCCCTGCCGGGGTGGAGAGAGGGCCTTTGACAGCAAAGCCCTTGTGGGGGAAGTTCTAGGCATCCACAGAGTGGACTGGCCGTCAAGAATGTAGCCTGCTTTGGGAGTGGGCAGGGCTCTGGGGTTGACCCTGTAGACAGCACGAACCTACTTAGGTCTGAGTGCAAACTGAGGGACTGCCTGGTGGGGGCGCTGCCAAGCTCCAGTCCTGAAGATGGTTCCTGCAGCCGGAAACCGAGCGCCCCACTTGCTTTCCATAACTAGCTTGTAAAAACGTCCCAGAACGCAGGTGTCCTTAGACCAGGTAACCCTTGAAAACCTCTTCTTGGTGGGGGTGTGTCTTCAACTCTGATCCAGTGCTTCTGTGGCCCTAGGTCTGGAGTGTGATCTGGCCCAACACCTGGCTGGCCAGCACCTAGCCAAGGCGTTGGTGTTGAGGGCGCTGAAGGCCTTTGTGCATGACCCGGCACCCACCAAGCCTCTGGTCCTCTCCCTGCATGGCTGGACAGGCACTGGCAAGTCCTATGTCAGCTCCCTGCTGGCGCACTACCTCTTCCGGGGTGGCCTCCGCAGTCCCCACGTGCACCACTTTTCCCCCATCATCCACTTCCCCCACCCCAGCCACATCGAGCGCTACAAGGTAGGCTGAACGTGTCATGGCCCACCATTCTCCCCTGCTGTGGAGTGAGTCCTGAACTCAGAAAGGGGAGGCCTCTTGCTTCAGGCCACACAGCCAGGGAGAGGCTCAGCCCTCAAGACCCATCCTGAGCAGGACTAAGGGTGGTGCCATTCTACTTGGTAGGGAGTTTTCACTTTGATTTCTGGAGGGCAATAATGCTATCTACCTGGCATAGTTGTGAGGGACATGTGATTATGTAATTGCAAGCATCATGCATTGACCACTTATGTGTGCCAAACAGTCTGCACTGTCCTCTCCCAGTAAAGAGCTTAGCCCACGTGGCTCAGTAAGCACTCAGTTAATATTAGCTCCTATTCTTGTTGCTGTCGGCCACAGTGCACTTTACAGGCTGGTCTGTTTCAGCTGTCAACACTGTTGGAAGGGTTTATCGATCAGGAAAGAGCCGCCTTCTTTTGTAGAAAACATTAAATACCATGGAAGGAGCTCTGGGTTTGAACCCAGTTCTCCTGCTGACTTGCTGTGTGACCTTGGGCAAATTCCTGCCCCTCTCTGGGCTGTATTTTGCCATCAGTCTTATTAAGGTGTTGATGCTTTCTGGAAGACCATATCTTCCTGTGAAAGGTCAGTTCTTGGGAAGCGCTCTGGGATTGGGGTAGTTTCTCTAGCCCCCCTTGAACTCCTACTTCAACCCCACAGAAGGATCTTAAGAGCTGGGTCCAGGGGAATCTCACTGCCTGCGGTCGCTCTCTTTTCCTCTTTGATGAGATGGACAAGCTGCCCCCAGGCCTGATGGAAGTCCTGCGACCTTTCCTGGGCTCTTCCTGGGTCGTGTATGGGACCAACTATCGCAAAGCTATCTTCATCTTCATTAGGTAAGGCTTGACTTCGCAGGGGCACAGTTGAGGGGACATTTCTTAGAAGTCCCACGTATCTGTTCTTGGCCTATGGTCCCACAATGGAAATACTGTTCCTCCTAGGCCCAGTCAGGCCTCCCTCAGGCTCCTCACATTCTCATTCACTCACTGTCATTCATGGTGGTTGTTACTCCCTTTGACATTCTTAAGGGCTTTTTGGCGGTGGGCTCAGTCTTTTTGATCCTCACCACTTCTTTGAGGAAGCCCTGCTGGATCAAAGCGTTTTTCCTCTTTCGTGGCTAAGAGGACACAGGCCTGGGAAAAGCAGGACAAGAATTCTAGTCTCACAAATATTAGTTATTATAAAAGTCAAGGAAAGGTTTATATGTGGAAGGAAATTTTCTTTGTTGGTTACCGGGGTGGGAGGGTAGATAGATAGAGATAAGTATTGATTTGGGGGAAGAGAAGGGCAGTGTACCAAATGTGAGTGATCAACATGGTGGCATCAAGGAAGAGGAAGACAGAGAGAGATACATAGGAGGTACAAACAACAAAGATGAACCCTTTTGCACATACAGTACTGCATTATCAGTGAAGGCAAACACGGGTAGACAGGTAGGTAGATGGGTGGACAGGCTGAATGAACTATTAGGTGTGTCTCTGCGGTGGGGAGCATACCCAGACCATGTATAGGGTTGGTAGACATTGGTTCTACAAGTGTATTTGTGTGTTCTGTAAGAATTCCCAGGTGTGTAGTAGAGCTGACAAGGGACAAGGTTGTAGCCACTTCTTGGTCACAGCCAGGTACCCAGAGGGAGTGAGTAAGTGAACCTGTGGGCTGGGGACCATAGTCGTAGGGGACATCAAGCTCAATTGGCATAACATACTACATAAAACATTGTTCTACCTCCTACTTTGGCGAGTAGCAACTGGGATCTTAAAAGCGTACAAATAGCCATCTGTATGCAACGATGGGTCTCTCCTTGTCCAGAGCAAAGAAGAATGAAGAAAACCAAAGATTCATGGAAACAATTAGTCCTAGCTACTGGTATACCATGCGATCCTCAGCCTATACGACTTTGAAACCAGAAGAACTAGATGGTGCCTGGCTACCACTGTCAACCACTCGGAGAGAAGTCTATGTAGGAGGTCCTGGGTAGAGAGGGAGAACAGTGTGGAACAAAACTCAAAATCATTTTTTTGGGGAAAAAAGCAAGCGGGAAGGGGGGACCAGGTTTGCTGGTCCGATAGAGCCTGGTGGAACCACTGAGATTATGGCCCCTAGCTGCCCTTCAGGTCTGGAACTGAACCCACGCCTGTGGTTTCCAGCCAAACAAAAGACAGGCATATGCATTGAACATTTACCTGAGGTAGACACACTCCTTGGAGAGAACAATCATGGGAGAAAGAAGGGCTGTGTATGCACAGTGAGACAGCTCAGGGGCACGAGTGCATGGAGGGATGGACACAGGAAAGAGGTAACTATTGGGAGGAAGGGGGAGGGGAGCTGTTGCATTGTGGTAAATTGTGGTCAATGTCATGAGACAAAGTGCATGTGAACTGCTGTATGGAAAGTGAATTTGCTCTGTAAACTTTCATCAAAATCACAGTTAAAAAAAAAAAAAGAGTTCTAGGCCCAGATTCAAGAATCCTAGCTGTGTTTCCTCAAGTAAATTACTTCACCTCTTTCTTAGCTTCAGTTTACTGTTCTGAACAGCAGGACCCTGGTATCTGGAGCCCTGGTGGTGCATATGGTAAAGGAAGGGCTAGCGTCAGCTCCACTGTATCTGCTCCTGTAAAGATTACAGCCTAGAAAACCCTCTCAGGCAGTTCTGCTGTCTCACTCGGGGTCTCTATGCGTTGAAAACAACTCAAAGTCACCCAACAACAGTAACAGCACCCTTCTAGAGGCTGGGTGAAGACAAGATCAGTTAAGGGACACAAAAGTGTTTTGTGAACTATAAAGTGTAGGGCCCATGTAGGTGAATTACAGGGGTCAGTGATTATGGACATAAGATCTACAGAGGGAAAGTGGTCCTTGTGGAGTGTTTTCTGTGGTTTGTGGCTCCTGCAGGAATTGTGCTAGGCCCCTGGCTCAGGTTATGTTTAGATGGCACCAGGGGCAAATCAAAACCAAAGCCACTGCCATGGAGTCTATTCAGACTCACAGCAACCCTTAGGACAGAGCAGACCTGGGTTTCCAAGCACACCGCCTCATCCTTTTCCCAAGGAACGGCTGGCGGGTTGAAACCGTGACCTTTTAGTTAGCAGCCGAATGCTTTACTCACTGTGCCACCAGAGCTCCTGGCACCAGGGCAGTGAGGGCCAAATCCTGTACCCTTATAGTCCCAGTCTGAGTCTCAGTCTGGGTCTCCATGTTTTAGCAACACTGGTGGCGAGCAGATCAACCAGGTGGTGCTGGAGGCGTGGCGCAGCCGCCGGGACCGTGAGGAAATTCGCCTGCAGGAGCTGGAGCCAATCATCTCCCGGGCTGTGCTGGACAACCCACACCGTGAGTTCCGCTCTGGAGCCCTGTCCCAGGGCCAGCTTCAGTCAAGCTTGAGGCTTTACCCCCAGACCCAATGGGCTAGGCTCTCTAGGGTGGGCAAGGTATCTCCGGGGCCTGATACTCTGCCTGCTGATCAGGTGGTTCAGACTTGGCACTCCTCACTCTGTAACTTTGGGAAGTCATACACCCTCTCTGAGCCTTACCCCCGAAAGGTCCCTCTGCCATCCTTTGAGGTGGGAGACCTGGGCTTCTCCCCACTTGTGACACATCTGTGTCTTCCTGCAGATGGCTTCTGGCGTTCAGGCATCGTGGAGGAGTGCCTCCTGGATGCTGTGGTGCCCTTCCTCCCACTCCAGCGGCACCACGTACGGCACTGCGTTCTCAATGAGCTGGCCCAGCTGGGCGTGGAGCCAAGGGATGAGATCGTGGAGTCGGTGCTGGACAGCACCACCTTCTTCCCTGAGGACGAACAACTCTTCTCCTCCAACGGCTGCAAGACCGTGGCCTCCCGAATCACCTTCTTCCTCTGACTCCTCAGGAGGGCAGCATTGCTCTTCCCTGCCTGGCCAGGCCATCTGGAAAAGCCCTGGGACCTCTGGCAGAAGGACCCTTGTCCCAAGCTTCCTAGAGAGTGGGACCCAGAAGATGAAGAAGGGTGTTGGATAGGCCATAGCCCAGGGCCAGGGCAGGCCTTGGTTCTTAACTGGGTTGAGGACATCTTGGCCGCTGTTGTCTTCCCCAGGCAAACTCTGGTCACCCTTCACTGGGCCTTGACCTCCCCCTCCAGCCTGAGCCTTCTTAAAATGTGAATTGTAACTCAGGGACTGTGGCTTGTAGCTACACCCTCCTTCCTAGGTTTATGTACCCTTGGCCCTTGCACTGGCTTCATCAACCCCACCACCACACAGACACATATCCCGTGTGTTCCAGTATCATGGAGCCAGGCTGGGACTTCTAGTCCTCATGGATAAAGGGACTCAAGATGCTACTTGGGCCTGGTTTTTATAAAGTTTTTAATTTTGTAAAAGAAGAGAACAGATGGAATAAACTTAGCCATGGAATCAGAGGAATATTGGCTGAAGTTTCTACTGCTCTGGGAGGAGACTGCTTTGCTGAGTGAGTAGGTACCAGTGTGTTGGGGGAGAAACTGTCTCTTCCCCAGCAGATAGTGTGGGGGCTCAGTGGCCTCTTTAAGGAGCAGTATTCCTGCTGGGGCTGGGGCTTGAGCCCTGTTCATCTCTGCTTTTGGTGGGGCTCTGGCTCAGGCCCTGGGTGGGACTGTAGCTTGGGTCCCAGCTATACTCATTCTTGCTGGAATTTGAGCTTGGTCCCTGGCCCCAGCTCTGGGCAGATTCAGTCTTGCAGGGACCCTGGCTTGGGCCCTGCATGGCCTCAGTCTTTCTGGCGCTCTGGCTTGGGCTTTGGGCAGCCTTGGTCTTGCTGGATCTTGGGCTTAGCTCTGAGTTCCAGCCTTGGACATCTTCAGTTTTGCTGAATCTCTGGCTCCAGCCTTGGGCAATGTTAGTCTTACTGAGTCTCTGGCTCTGGTCCTGTGTAGCTTCATCCTTGCTGGACTTGTGACTTGGGTCATAGAAAATACTGACCATGCTAGGACTTGGGCTTGGTCCCCAATCCTGGCCCTGGGTGGTATCGTCATTGCAAGGCCTCTGTTCCCCACCCTGGACAGCCTCAGTCTTGCTGGGCCTCTGGCTTCCGCCCTGAGGAACATCTGTATTGCTAGGGCTCTCATTTAGATCATAGAAATCCTTAGTCTTGCTGGAACTTCGAAGTAATCCCCAGGCCTGGCCACGGGTGGGGAACTTTCTGAGTCCCCAGCTCCTGCCCTGAGGAGCCTTAGCTTTCCTGAACCTCTGTCTTGGGCCCTGGGTGTCCTTCGTCCCGCTGGACCTCCGCCTTGGGCCCTGGGTGTCCTCGGTCTCGCTGGACCTCACCCTTCGGCCCTGGGTGTCCTCAGTCTTGGTGGACCTCCGCCTTGGGCCCTGGGTGTCCTCGGTCCCGCTGGACCTCACCCTTCGGCCCTGGGTGTCCTCGGTCTCGCTGGACCTCCGCCTTGGGCCCTGGGTGTCCTCGGTCTCGCTGGACCTCCGCCTTGGGCCCTGGGTGTCCTCG